AAATTAACCAACATGTGCATAGCAACAAAGAATGTTTTATTTTTGCTTCTTTGGATTGGAGAAGCAAACATTATCAGCTACTAAATATAAAATGAACTTGTCGTTGCCAACTTTTTTATAGAGTAATTCAAGTAAAATTTCAGAAGAAGCTATAAGGTCCCTTAAGAATCTTATGTTCTTCATGTTGCAAGTTAGATGTTAGTTGTTTCGCAAAGTTCATAATTAATATATTATTTAAAAAAAAATAAATGTCAGATACATTTCGGAGAATATTCTAAAACTAAGGATCATACATGAGCGTTAATTTCCCATGCTCCCTTAACCTTGACCCTCTCCTTAAAGAGTTTTCTTAGAAATAAAAATAGATCATTTTAAAACTGAATAATTATGCGTAGATAATGATATAGACAAAATATATTTAAATAAACTCACGATCAAATAAAAAAGCAATGCCCAAATATCATCTACCTCAAAGTTGGGATGCTAAATTGGGAACAAGAAATACCAATCTCATAAACAACACTAAACAATTTTTTTGAGCCAAATAGATGAACCAAATAAAAATCATGACAACCTAGATATTTTCTTAATGTTTGTTTTCCGAAGATGTTAACTTCAATCTCTGCACAATTTGTAAATATAAAAAACTTGTTCTCCTTAAACTGTTAAATTGATAAATCTCGAAACAACTTAGAGTATTAAAAAGCTATGAAGTTCACTTATCAGAAGACGCATTAATTGCATATGCAAATTCACTAAGAGAAAAGACATAAAGACCCCATTAAAGTTGTCCCGTATTTGCATAGAGACACCTTAACTTTCAAAGTGTCCTATCACCCCACAAAACTATTTAATATCTTTGTAAATGGGCCATTTTGACCCATTTCCTCGTCTGGGTTGTTACCACGCACATGAGGCGCGTTATGCAGCGTTTTCACTGCCATGGACCAGTTTAAAAGTGCCACGTGTCATTTTCTTTCTTTATTATTAATTATTTAATAACTTTATATCATCTTCCCCAAATTTAAACCCAAAGTAGCCATTGATAGCCCTAATTTTTCGATTTTATGGTTTTTTCCATAGCCCTACAGTAGCAATTACTCAAAAACACAACGAAAAACTATAAAATCCTAACAATGGCAACTATAGTAGGTCGATTTCAACACTTTTACACTATAATAATCCCTAAAATTATAATAATCGAAAAAAAAGAAGATATTTATCATATGATCTACCCTAACCTGTTAAACCTTCAATTCTTTGTCCCTCCAAGAATCTTCACTAAGACACATCAACAATGAGATTATCAACACCAACACGGCGAGAAAACTTTTCTATTTCTTCAGATTTTATGGAAAGTTGAGAAATAAGAAAAGAAAAGGAGAAGACGACTTTTCTTCAAAGAATAGGGTCGGGTCGGGTCGGGTCGAATTCTATCACAGGAAGTGAGCAACACGCGCCACTACATAGATGAGGGAATGGGTCAAAATGGCTCATATACAACGATATTAAATAGTTTTGTGGGGTGATGGGACACTTGGAAAGTTAAGGTGTCTTTATGCAAATACGAGACAACTTTGATTGTGTCTTTATGTCTTTACTCATTCACTAATTAAATATTAAACAAACTAAATCTAATTAAGTTTTTACCTTTTTGATCAATAGGTGATGAAACTTAAGTTAACAAAATGAATATTATGATCAAATAGCCAAGCCAACTTTGGAAAAGGTAAAAATTTAAGGTTCATCACCTATTGGAGTACTTTAGAAACAAAGCAAAATATTAAGACCAAGAACTACATCATTATTGTTGGTACTATCTCCGGAATCCATGTATATATGACATGCATATTATTCTATTTTCAGGATATAAAAATGAATTTTAAATAAGAAGGCCCCTAAAAGTAACAACAAAACTCATGTTAACAAAAAAAACTACTGTAATAAGAAAAAGTTACAACAAGACTCAAGATAGAAGGAAATATTGGTTTTACATAACCAACCATAAAAAGAAGTAAGACTAACAGATTCATAATATAATAAATTAAAGTTCATTTACAAAGATTTTGTTATATATAACATACCACAAGTAAGGGAATGAGATGCTTCCCATTAAACTCATAATAATCAATTACTCATTCAACTTCTTCAAGAAGACTCCACCCTCTATAACACTTAACTCCATTTATATTTTATTTTTTTCTATCATGTGTTTTTCTATATTGATGACTAACTTATAAATTGAAATTATAGTTTAAGTAATTAGAATGATTTGGTAGATGCCTTGAAGAATTCAAAGTTTATTCTGCGAACCAAAGCTCTACATATTATGATAAAAATCTCACCTTTTGTTCCTTTACTCTTGTTTCTGATGTAGAAATTTCCAATATTGACTCGTAATATTCAATGCCATATTAGGATGGTCTCGCTACTTTAGTCTATTTTTGTCTTGAGCTGAGGGTATATCGAAAATAGACTTTCTACCTTACCTTTATGGTAAATGTAAGGTGTGTATATTCTACCTTCTCCGGACCTCACTCTATGAGAATAGACCAAGTATGTTGTAGCTATTAGGATGGCTTCACAAGTTTAACACAATCACTACAGGGGAAGTAAATAAGATTGAAATTATTGTACAAAATCATTAAATATAGAAAACTGAAAAACAATAAGTATAGCACAGAGAGAACAAAATTGAAATACAAAATCTAACAAATCTAACCTATTTACTTGACATTTCAATTGATTGGTTCCCATACATCAGACGCTCAAAATAAGATATGCAAAAATAGAAAAAGTTATTGAAGTAGTATAGTTAAATTAAGAATTAAAATTAAAACACAACTGCTAAGAAATTCATTAATTCAGAAAACATTCAATGGGACATTAAACTGAGAATATATTACAAATAATTCAACCCGAATACATAGCACCTTTAGCCGCGAAATTAATATTTTCAGATAGTCATGTATTAAAAAGGCCAAATACATAAAACAAATCCCTAAACTTGTTGGGTTTTTTCCCTCAGGTACCTCAACTACACCATTTTCCTATTGAATCATTGAACCACCCATAATTTGTTCCTTTTAAACACCGTTGGCTGATGTGGAACCAAACGTGATCTCACGTCGTTTGGACGCGTGAAGACGCTTTAAAGTCGTTGATGTGGATGCTGAACCACCCACCAACGATCTTCTTCCCCCCTTTAACCCTAATTTATCCCCTTCTTCTCTTATTTCTCCTCTTTTGTTTCTCTTCATCATTATTTCTCCTCTTTAGCTCATTAGAATATATCTCTTCTTCAGTGATTTCTTCTTAATCATCAAGTTCCAATGTCGAAGTTATCTACTTCATCGATTTCTTCTTCTTCAACTGCGAATGTGCTATGTCAATGTAGGGTCGTTGTGGAAATGAAGACCTCATGGACGCAATCCAACCCTGGACGTAGGTTCCTTTGTTGCAAAACTTCAAAGGTAATTCATTTTTATTGTCCAATATAGTAAAGAATCAACTTATTTGTATTTCAATTTTTTCTTTAATTTTGTAGGCACGAGGTGGATGTGGATATTTCCGATGGTATGATGATGAAATGCTGGCTCAAGCTAGGAGGGTGATATGGTGTTTGTTGAAAAGAGTAAAAACATATGAATTGGAGAGGAATCGATCAAGAAAAGTATGGATGATATGCATTGCCGTAGGGGTGATATTGGCTACTTGGATTTATGTAACAAAATGATCTTAGTTGGTTAATTTGTCTTCTACTAGATTTCTTCATAAAAGTATGTACGGTAGATTGTAGTGTTCTCTATGAGGGCAATTTTGATCGGCTTTTCTATTGTAAATGCCTTCAATTATGTTCTTATTGTAATGATTTTGATTGAAGGAATGAAGACAAACTGTGTGTTAGTCTCATTTGTTTTCTAATGTGTTCAAATGACTTGAAGTAAAACACAATTATTCTCGAACATTTTCACTATCAATTGGACTAATGAGTTCTGGAACAACATAAATCAACACAGTAAAAACTGATCATTCATACCATTAATTTGCTCTAGTGAGCTCCAATCAAACATACCAATCCATGACAACTAATTAAAAGTAATACCACAAATAAGTTAATGTACTTAAAAGACACCAAAAGACATTTCAAAGCAGTCAATACAAGTTTTTGCTGCTGATTACACATCCAAAAAGTGACTTTTCTGCTGAAATTAGGCATTCTTTGGTGCACTAGATGTTCCACGTTTGTTTTTTCTTGACTGACTGATACGTTGCAACTGTGAAGCTGTGACAACATCTCCACCATTCCACTTGAGTCCTCGAGGCTTATAACCAATATCAATATTTGTTGGAGCTGCATCCTTGTAAACTCATGGAGTGATAACCCTTTCTCCTAAAGTATCAGGCTGCATAGAAATGTCTTAAAATGAGACTTTATATAGTAAAGTAAGAAATGAACAAAATTATGTATACACTTACATAAAGGTTTGACTACCACTTGCATTTGTATAGATGCCATATCCTACCATCTTGGTCCTCTTTTGTCTTCCTGTTGATATTGAATCTCCCATAGCCCTTGGTTGATCAGGTTGCTGACTTGATACACCTCTGGTGCCTCTACCAATGCCTCTACCAGTGCCTCTGCCAGTGCCTCTACCAGTTCCTCTACCAATGCCTCTACCATTGCCTCTGCCAGTGCCTCTACCAGTGCCTCTGCCTGTGCCTCTGCTTTTAGCAGGTTGTTGCTCTCTTCTAACAGCTGAAGAATCAAAACACATAGAACTGCCTTGCTGACTGAATACTGGTGGTTGACTTGAGCTTGATGGTCTGCTAAAAAGTGGTGGCTGGCTTGAGCTTGATGGCTGGCTAAACACTGGTGGATGGCTTGAGCTTGATGGTTGGCTAAACACTGGTGGCTGGCTTGAGCTTGGTTGCCTGCTTGGGTAGCCTCTAGGTTGTCCCATCCCAACCTATTAATACAGTAATAATAATTTATTACTCTAAATAATTGAAGCTAATTGTAAATGAATTAGAAGATAATAATAACTTACCATGGTTGGACAAGCTTTTTTGTTGTGGCCTACTTGATGACACAATGAGCCAGTCATTTTTACTCCTCTTTTGGACAACTTTCCATACTTTTTCCTAGGCTCATTCTTTCCCTTTCTTCTGCACTTTGGTGGCCTACCAGGCATGACTTTTGGTTCAGGAGGTTCAATCACTACACCACTAGTGTGAGGCCACATTTTCATGTTCGGTATTGGCTGTAGAAAGTGATTATAAGCCTTCAAGAAAGTCTCTTTCCTATACCAATGCACTACTTCATGTTCAGGTTCTATGCCTTTGTGCTGATATGCAAGCACAACATGTTGACATGGTATGCCCCTCAATTGCCATGTTCTACATGTACATGTCTTCTTCCTTATATCAACAATATGCCTGTACTGACCATCTAAGATTTCATACCCAATATCACCATTGAATCTAACTTCACAAAGTCTAGCAAGATCTTTGTTCTCTTCAAGTACTAGTCTAGCCATATGAGAGATATTTGAGATCCAAGTTTCTGCAAATTGCCTCATTGCAATATTTCTGTCCATTATCTTGTGCCTAATCTCCTCTAACATAGTTCTGATAGCTTTATGTCTAGCAGCTAGTATCCAAGAATTAAAAGTTTCACACATATTGTTTTCAACAATGTCACACTTAGAATGCTCCTTAAAATATGCTTTGCACCAAGTAGATTTTTCATAATGCAACAAGTCCTCACAAATTTTATTACCCAATTTGTTGAGTTTATCCATCTCATCTTCAAAACTTGACTTAACACATCTCCAGAACTGGTTCCTTCTTTCTTCACCACTCCATATTTGATGCCAGTTGGACCAGATATATCTAGCACACCTTCTCTGCTCACTATCTGGTAGCAACTCACATAAAGCTGGTACAAGACCCTATGTAAACAGTTATAGCACAAAAATTAAAAAAGTATTCACAACATAAGAAATTAAAAAATAAGAGATCAAGCTACAATACAAAAACTATCTAACCTTCTGCATATCTGACATGACAGTCAGTCCATGTCTTGTGCCTAAGTTCAGATCTTCTATCAAGTAATTGAGGAAAAAACTCCAACTGTGTTTTGTCTCTGTGTCAACAACAACCCATGCAATTGGAAACATCTGTTGATTTCCATTTCTACTAACAACAACCAACAATTCACCCTTGCAAGAACCCTTTACAAAGCATCCATCAAAACCAATAATTTTTTTGCATCCTTCCAACCAGCCTCTTCAATGCATCAAAGCAAACATAGAAGTAAACAAACAAAGTTTTTCCTGGCTGAGACTCTCTATCTGTCCTCACCCAACATGAAGTACCAGGATTAGTATGTTTAATGATGTCTGCATAATCACACAATCTTGAAAATTCCATCTTCCAATCACCTAAGAAGTCCTTGATAACCCTCTTTTTTGTCGTATGACAAACAGTTCTTCCAACATATAACCCAATTTTTTTTCTCACCAATTCCAGAATTTCCCACAATCTTATATATGGTTGACAGGTAATTTCATCTTTGAACTTTTCTGCAACAAACTTAGATGTACATAACTTGTTCTTGGTTGATTGAGGACATACATACACGGGATAATAATTTTTGACAATAAAATCACCAGAATCCTTATCTATACTAGCAAACAACAACCATTTACATTTCTTGTCCTCACACTTAACTCTAACCCTTTTTTTGTCATTAGGCTTCAACTTTAGCCTAATTTTATATTCACAAGAATAGTCTGCAACAACTTTTCTAAATTGTTCAGCACTTTCAAATACCATACCAAGCTCAAAAATAGCTAGAACACAATCAGGATCAATCTTACCTTTTTTATTTTTATTCTTGCTGGTAAATCAACACCCCTCACAAAATCTGGATCCAATCCATCCCTACTGTCATCACTATCCAATTCTGAGCTATCTATATATTGCTCATTACCCCCTAGTCTTCCAGTGTATCTAGCAGCCTTATTCCTTCCTATGTCTTCAAATCCTCTATCAATACCAGCTGTTCCAAGCTTTATTTCCTCAGTTTGAATAGGTTTTTTCTTTTTCACTTTATTTCTCCTTTCATTTCTAAGAGATCTCAATTCTTCATCAGCCTCAGAGTTATCCTCATCAGGAATAGCATCCTCTTGAGAGTCAACACTGCTTTCTTGATTTGATCCGGCCCATTCCTCTTCTAGATCTGATATATCCCCTGGCTCAACTTCCACATTAACATTTTCAGATTCAGCCTCATGATTCAACCCTTCACTTGCAGTCACATTTATATCTTGTAAGTCTTCTTCACCAACCACATTGCTATTTTTTTCAACTACAGGCCCACAAAGCAAACTAGTTGTGGTGACCACTTCTACATCATCCACCACATGCTTCACATAAAGGTCTAAAAAATCACCATCCTTTATGTCTTTGATAAGATTTAGTAAAGTGAAATAAGTTTCCACCTTAATAAAGTCATTTTTTGTGGGGTCTTTAACACAAAACCCACCAACAGTAATATACCCCAATTGTTTAGTGTAAAAAAGTAATTCGATTATTGAGAAGTGGTCCTTGTTGATATTAACATATTCCACCTCGTTTTCCCCTTTATAAGTAGTTCCATTTTTGTCCTGAATAAACTTACCACCATGATGAAAACGAGTTATAATAACGGTGTCCATAAGATTCCCTGAAACAAGGCGGAAGCCCCAAAAATTTCTAACATGTTATGAACAATAAGAAACAAAAAACCCTAACTTTTTCAGATATTAGCAACACACAATCACATTAATACTAAAATGCAATATATATCACGTTACAACAATAAAAATTACATAGAAATTAGGGAATGAACTTACCTCACACTCGTCAACTCAAAAATCGTGATTGAACTCCAAAATCGTCTACAATCTTCGATGATTCCTTCAACAAAACAATCGAAATCACTTTAAAATCTGAGAATTTTAGTTGTAAATGTCAGTGAAAGAAGAACAATTGTTCGGGTTTTCTTGTCTAGCATCGGGTTAGAACTGTTTTGGGGGGAAATGAAGGGGCTTTGGTTTTTAGGTTTGAGGATTGAATATGTGGCGCTGACGTGTAATTGGGTTGAAGTATGATTGGTTGGAATTTCCATGTGGGGAAGGTTGATCCCACGCGCACATCAACCAAAAAATATTTGTTGAAGTTTGGTTCCACATCAGCCAATGGTGTTTAAAAGAAACAAATTATGGGTGGTTCAATGATTCAATAGGAAAATAGCATAGTTGAGGTACTTGAGGGGAAAAACCCAACAAGTTTAGGGATCTGTTTATGTATTTGGCCTATTAAAAAAATATACTCATCCTTAATACAATCAACATAATAGGTTTACCTTCTTTAATTGTTGTTGCGAATCAAGTTTCCAGCCTCATCTTGCCGCCCGAATCCAGCCGCTACCACTATCACTTGGTTCTAGAGGATCTGTTCTTGACCAAAACTCTACTCGAAAGTTATATCGTTCTTGGAGAACACATTGATGAAAAACAAAAACTTACCCAAGAGAAGTGCAGAAGTAAAGCTTCTCCTCTTCCCCTTTTATTTATTTATTTAATATGGGAGCGTTACTCATTTTAAATAATTAATTGGATAATTAAATTATTAGTAGTTTTTAAAAAGTAGTGGGATAATTAATATACCGTATATAAGTTTGTGCACACCTATTTTTATTAATGACCAAATATTGTCGTTGTAACGACAGGAATATTATACCTTCGCCAGTGATTAGTAAAATAAATAAATTTAGCGATGGGAATTTTATTTGGTCATTGTAAGTGTATTTATAACGACCGGATTCATTCCCTTCGTTATGTAATTGTCGTTAAAGATTAAATTTCTCGTAGTGTGCGTTGGACCCCTAAACTACGTAGTTTTGGTCAGTTTTAGCCTAGAAAGTAAATTAGAACCTACCCTAGTCAATTCATTCTCCTAAATTCATCCAATTAGAACGAAAAGAGGAGAAAGCAGCCGAGCAGCCCTAATCCAAGAACACATCAAGATTTCTTCAGTTCCAACAGCGAAATAAAAAGATTTATCCGTGAATTTCATCACCATATATGTTGAATTTCACTAGTGGGTTTCTTTCACCCATTAGGTTCCTAAAATTTAGTCAGATTCTTGATTCTCTAGATCATGCTTAGACCTAGGGTTTCTAGAATTTCAAATTTATGTTATGATTCAGTTGGTAGACTAATCCAAATCAGATTATCATGTTTTGAGGAATTGTTGCTTAGCTTCTTTCATGAAACTCAGAACCCTAGTTGTGTAGATTCTATTAGTTCATGAATTACACTTGCCATGTTAGTTTATTCAGTTATACATGCCCCAATTAAGAATGTTTCATTATCAGTATATTAATGTCGCATTTTCAGTTAGCATGTCAGTAGTTTGAGCTATTCAGTATTACAGATATTCAGTCATAATGTGTTAATTACATAATCAGTTGGGATAGACTTAATACCGAGTGGACTAAAGGTCAGTCACCCTCATAGTCCCAGAACTACGTGCCCCCGTAGGTAAGTCCCCTTTATGGCATTATACTTAGAGATCACGCCAGTCATGCCTCTATACTCATGGCAAGGTATATTGGACCCTCTTGATGGGGCTTATACATCGGACTTCATATATAACTCATGTGGTTTAATGTCAGTTATTAGTAGCTCTCACAGACAGATTCTAGCGCATTGACCAGGTTATCAGTTACAGTTTAGTATTCAGTCTCAGTATATTATAAACTTGGTCACTACATTCAAACAGTTCATATTCAGCATGTCCAACATATTTATCATGTTCAGATTATATCATTTCTTTATCGCTTTGTTCAGTTATATGTTTTATTTAGCTTTATTATATCCTGCAAGTTGAGTACCTTTCAAGTATTGATACATACTCTGCGCTACATCTTCTCGTGATGTAGGTTCAGGTCCTTAGCATTCAGATCATGCATAGATCGGTTCCCGATCTTCAGTTCAGCATCATCACTGGTGAGTCCTCATTCTTCGAGGACGAGTGACATGTTATCTTTCCATTTTGAGTCTTTAGTTTCATTTTTGCTAGACTTAGCTGGGACATGTGTCAGCATCTCTAGTCAGTAGAGGCTTTTATTCAGACATAGTTTAACTTCACTTTTAGTTGAGTTTGATCTTTCAGTTGTCATTGAACTCAGTTATATATTCAGACTTAGAATGGGTATTCCCCATCATTTCATTTTATGATATATTTCTAGCTTTTGCACAATATATTTTATTCAGTAATCTTTTAGTATGCTTATGATATGCCAGCTCAGGGTTAGCTTGGGGTTACTCATGATCCGAGGTCCTGTGTTTACTTCCAGGGGGTAGCATCAGGGCGTGACAAACTTGGTATCATAGCATTAGGTTTAAGTGTCCTAGGATGTCTGAAAAGTCGCACTAAGTAGAGTCCTTTTCACGGGTGTGAAGTACACCACATCTAATAAGAAGGAGGCTACAAAGTGTTTTAGGAAAACTTCACTTTCTTGATATTCTTATCGTGCGTTAGTATGATCTCTCTTTCTAATCCATCGTTATGCATTTTCAGATCATGCCTCCTCGTAGACCTTACGTAAGGAATGTGAATGCCCGCAACG